TGTGTGTTCATTAATGATGTTTACTGGAACGCTGTTTGTACCAGAAGTATCGATTGGAGCCAGGCTCTTTGTGTGTGTGCGTGTGCGTGTGTGTGTGTGTGTGTTTGTGGCAGTAAAACTATTGATCTTTACCCCTCCCAAATGTGTTTATTCCTACAGTATAGCAAGTCTGTCAAAAGCCAAGTGTACTGTAAGTAATCCCTCTTCCCATCTTCCCCATTTTCTGCATTTTCCCCTCTAGTACTATTCGTCTCACTTAGTCAGAGTGAAACGTTCTTTTAAATAATCTTATTCATGTTTTCTTCTGTCTTGCGCTCTTGCTTTTTATTTAAATACTGTCAGCATTGTTTGTTCTCTTTTATTTTGTTAATTTATTTTCTTTGCTTTTTGGCAGCTCAGACAAGACCAAATAAATGAGTGTATATGTTTGGTTGGGTAGCTCTGTGTTTGTACACTTTGTACAGATCATGAACGTACTGCAGCATCAAATTACCATTGCTGCACTGTGACATCATTTCACAGATAAATGTATTTTGTTTTTGTTTTCAGCATTGAGTAGAGTCCGCTTTGCTGTGTAGTGGTTTGTGTTTAAAGCTACGGGGCTCTGTCTCTTTCTCTAATTACTTTTGACTTTCAGCTTTTCAAACACATTACCATGACAAGGCACACTCCGAATCTAAACCGCATTACATGTATTGTTTGTCAGAGCTCCGGTTTGACAGAAGAAAGCACACATACGCACACATACACACAATCTTTAATGCTGCCTAATAGCCGCCCACATCCCAGCAAGTGCTTTGACAACAGTTTAATTAGTTTGAATGTTTAATGGTTTGTATCTTCTTCCATGATGCCGAGTCTGACACTGCTGGGTTTAAAAGCAATGCAGTGTGTGAGATTTATCACGTTCATCTCTCTTCTTTTTACTGGCAACTGCTGAAAACATTGCTACATTCATGTGGGTCACCATTGAAAAAGAGGTCAATGATCTCAATGGGTTTTCACCTGAATAAATAAAGGTTTTTAATTGAATTAAATGCAGCCAATGAAACACTGTATGGCTATCAAGCTTATTTGAGATGGGAATATGGTCAGACACAGTTTGGGCCACAAGAGCATTTAAAAAGTTGTTGATAGAAATATTGATAAAAGAGTTACACTTATTGGTAAGATACCTACTTATAGTCCACGTGCATTTAAACAACTATGCCTCCATGCCCATCTATTTCTTTATTTAAAACTTGTAGAACTGGATAATTAGACATTAACTTCACTAGCAGCCATCCTAAAAAAGTTGAAAGTATTTACTGATCATCGACAGACAGTTTTCCTTGCATTGTGTCCAGATGTCCACAATTCCTGTCCTAACAGTAAAGCTTGCAGGGTTGAAATACCCCACAAGTTAACAAAGCCATTAACATTCTTCATGTGAACTAGCAATCCTTACTTCTCCTCTTCTGGTAGAGAATAACTACCTGCTACTAACTCCAGCTGAAGGAGGCAATATTTATCAACCCTTCATTAAAGGTGGGGTAGGTAATTTTGGAGAAACCAGCTCGAGTGCGCTAGCATTTGAAAATACACAACCGGAAAAAATCTGCCACTTCCTTACAGAGCCCCTCCTCCAACACACACGAATGGGCACATGACCAATGAGGGCACGAGATAAGTTTGTGCACAGATGAAAGGCTGACGGGCAGGTAGGCCATCCAGTTATTTTAGCCACGCCGTCTAAAATGATTGGTCGTGCTTTTTGCAGCGAAGAGAGTAATATTAATCAATTCTATTGATGGTGTTTCTTTAGCTTTAAATACATAAAGCTGTGTTGTAAGACGGCCCAAATGCTATTAACGTTTCTTTAAAAAAAGCAAGATTGAAAAAAGACACTTAAAATAAACTTCTGATGTATCAAATATTGTATGGTCCCGAGGTCATGCAGATGTTTCAATGGTAAATTACTCTAAATACCTCTTCTAAATCTATCACGGTGTCATGTTTGTGAATTGAGCAATACGCCTGTTATTACACCCAGTACTCATTCAGTTTAACATTTATATTGTATCTGAGACCAACCATAATTAGTATATAAGTTTATCGGACCCAAACATTGACCTGCTGTATGAATGCTTCAGTGAGGTGCAGGAAACCTCATTGAGAGTCCTGTGAAGCACAGTAGGCAGAGAATGCAACTTAACCTGCCATGGTGGAGAGTTTTTATTACCCGCTGGAAACCATTAGTAAAATGTATGCACTGGTGATAAATGGTGGGACAGTCGAATGGATTCAGCAGGATTGGAGAGCAGCAGTGGGAAGGGGCAACGGTTGAGAAGAGAGGTGAGATAGTAATAATAAGATTGGAAAAGAAAAGGGAGGGGAGAGATGAAGGGCTGTATGGGTGTTATAAGGGAGGGAAGAGGTTGGGCAGTGAAGCAGAGAAGCTGTTGCACACTGAGGCTGAGCGTGTGTGTGTCCGTGTGTGTGTGTGTGTGTGTGAGGAAGC